TTGTTGATTTGGGTTTGTCTGGTTTGAAACCCTCGGTTTTGGGTTTGTTTGGCTGATTTTCTTTGTGTCCATCAGTGCAGATCTCTGTGATTGGGATCTATGATATATCTTGAACATGCTCTATTGCTGAACTTTTATGATCGGCTCTGCTTTGCAGTACGAGCACAGACACGTAATGTGGGTTCGAATATTGTCATAGTTTTTTCTTCCCATGTGCTTCTCGCTTTATTTTCACTTTGTTTGGTGTAAGTTTTGAGTTGGATGGACTCATGTAAATGCCGTTTGGTTTTTTGAATGAAATATTTCTTCCGATAAAAAAAAAAAACGAAAAAAAACAACAGTCTATTCCAATAAAAAATTAATTAAACAAACTCATATCCAATGAAGCAATCTATCTATTGTATTTAAATGTACAAAAGATGCAACAATTTATATATGGAGAAACAGAATGAACAGGCAAGACTTGAGTTTCAATAAAATTTGACTATTACTTACGATATATCAAAAGATATCTTCCACTTCTGACTTTAAACGGTACACACAGAATCAAATATCGAAATACATCCAAATCTAACTAAACATTAAACTGACAAATGGTGAAAAATATATCCGAATTCTGTGTATAAAAACTCTGAACCTGTTCTGGTATTTTGTTTATGAGCAAAATAAAGAAATCTAAAACCAAACCGTGCAACAACATTGTGTAACAGAAATAGAAATGAATTTTGTCTAAAACAGATTTAAAATGAATTGTATAATCACAATAGAAACTAAAATTTGTCTGACAACAAATCTATTATAGAACTGTTATCTAGAACAACACATTAGTATATTGGAAAAGATAAATATGCAATAGAATTCAACTTAAACACAATTTCGGATAAAAAATTACCAATCATATTTATCGATTCTATTACCAGGGAAAAGATGCAGTAACAATACTATAGTTCTACCGAAAGCAGGAAACAAACTTTGCAAGAAAGCAAATTTGCAAAAAAATTAATTTAACTGAAAAGAATTAATCTGTATCACTACAGATAGTAAATTCTGTCTTAAAAATTATAGGAAAATATTTTCAGAAAACAATTTAATGTAAATAAATAATAAAATAAAACACAAGAAATTCTTTACAGAAATTCTGTAAACTCAGTATAGATTGTGACCGAGGCCAATGTTTGAATATTGTGTCTTTAAGATATAATTTTGCCCTTGCCTTTGGTACTTGCGATTAATAGACGTCCTGCCTCCAGGATACAAGATCACCCCATACAGAAATTGCACAACTTTTTGTGTGTACAGCGAACTAATTTGTATCATGCACTCTCTCTTATATACTCGATTAGACATAATATATGAATCCTAAAACAAACCTTAACTTATGCAATAATGCCATGGGATGGGATGGTACTTAGGCCATGTTTGTTTGGGCGGACTGGATTAGCATTCCTATGACTAATAGTCTTAGGACTGTCAATCCGTTGGATTATGTATCCTATCTTAACTAATAGTCAAGTTTAAAATAATTAATCCGTACTTCAATTGTTTAACCAAACATCGGATTAATAATTTTATTGGACTATTAGTCCAATCCCAAGCTCATGTCCACCCAAACAAACATGGCCTTATAGAAGTACTTGTGATCTTTAGAATAGTCATATCTATTCGGTTCACACCCTTTCATACGAATAGGCACCAAACTTTGCAAGAAAGCAAATTTGCAAAAAAATTAATTTAACTGAAAAGAATTAATCTGTATCACTACAGATAGTAAATTCTGTCTTAAAAATTATAGGAAAATATTTTCAGAAAACAATTTAATGTAAATAAATAATAAAATAAAACACAAGAAATTCTTTACAGAAATTCTGTAAACTCAGTATAGATTGTGACCGAGGCCAATGTTTGAATATTGTGTCTTTAAGATAGAATTTTGCCCTTGCCTTTGGTACTTGCGATTAATGGACGTCCTGCCTCCAGGATACAAGATCACCCCATACAGAAATTGCACAATTTTTTGTGTGTACAACGAACTAATTTGTGTCATGCACTCTCTGTTATATACTCAACTAGACATAATCTATGAATCCTAAAACAAACCTTAACTTATGCAATAATGCCATGGGATGGGATGGGATGGTACTTATAGAAGTACTTGTGATCTTTAGAATAGTCATATCTATTCGGTTCACACCCTTTCATACGAATAGGCACCATGAAAGATTGCATCATTTCATTCAAATGGACTCTAATTCCATTCACTTAAAAAAATTGCCAACACTAACATTCTTGTACATACACCACCTAAACCATTCGTTACACAGAGAATCAATGGTATAGACCCATTTTTTATTCCACCTACTTTGAAGACATAGCGACATCAAACTCTATTGAAGAAGATCCACGGTGACTCCATTAAAGACTTGTTGCATTGTTGAAGGTGAGCATCTCCCTCCCATTTTGTTAATTCACTCACAACCATTAGATATGTCTTCAGATTTTCACATTTTGAGATTCTCATATGATCCAATGGCAATGAGTGAATTAGGACAAGGGGACAGAGTTATTTGGGGATAGAGGATCCTTATCAATTAAAGACCTACAACTCCATTTATTTCTTATTTTCCATCAACCCTCATTTTTTCTTGGAAGAAATTCGATTTTGTTCATTCGGTATTGGTTATTTGAATGAAAAAGTTTTATTTGATTTTGAACTTCTAAAACATGTAAATTCGAAACTTAATTTCCAAAATAAATTCTTAAATTCGAACATTGAGTTCTAAATTTGGTTTATATCCAAATTCGGAACTTGACTTTCGAATATAATTAATAATTTCGGCAGTTGATATTTGAAAAACGTAACATGTTTCGGTATTGGTGTGTCGAATTAAAATTGCAAAAAAAAAAAAATTGCACAAAAAAACTCAACTTCACTGCTTTTGTTGTAATCAGGCATATTCTTATTTGAATTTGAACTTCCATTGATTTGCAACTTTTTCATCACATAAATCAAGAATTATGATAGATTCTAAAAACAAAACGATATATGCAATGGAGTATAAACCTAGTGAGCATTGTTTTGCGAACAATAGAGGACTATAGAGTGTGTGGCAAATAATAGACAATAGAATAAGTGAGAAACAATAGAGGAATTAGGGTTTAGTTTTTTTTTTTTTACTCAAAAAATGTGCAAAGATTTTTTTATTTTTAAATGATGTGTACAGAGAAAACGTTGATTCAATATTAAGGGTGTAGTTTGATGTCCATTACAGTCATTTTGTTTCAAGATAAAATTGTCATTAAAATAATATTTCCTTCAATATATACAAAAAAATAAATAAGTGTGTGGAAATAGAATTTCTTGAACTCTTCCCTTTCATGTGCAATCTAATGAAAGTTTGGTTCAATTTTGGCATCTTATTTGAGTGTATATTTCTTTTAAAAAAATTAAAAACACATAAATATATTACAAAATTAAATACAATCCTCTCACATATAAAATGAGTTGTGTAGCTCTCACTTATGTGAAAATTTTGTATTTGATTCTATGATTCATTTCTATGCAAGTAAAACAACTAATTTCTTTTTACAATACCAAAATCTAAGAAAATAGAATGTTTGTTGTAGCTTGAACGAAGCAATTTTGAACTTTTTAAAATTTTCAATTTTGGGTTCTTTATGATGTAGAAAAGTAAAATAAAACAAATATAAATAAAAAGAAACTTTTTCTTTCAATCCATTATGTAAGAAAAAATGATTGGTTGGTTTAGAGACACCATGTGACCATGTCTTTGACCGATTATAAATTTTCATTTATTCTCATATTCTTTAATCACCTAACGTAAAATTGTAAATCCTACCATTTCCAGCAATCAAAACACACTTAAAACGTTTCATGACGGTGCTTTGAGACCAACAAATACCTCAACGTACAAGAGAGTTTTTGTCCCAAATGATGTGACAATCCATGACTAATTAGCCTAATTTATTTTATTTGTTTTTAACTTAATATTATCGCATTATTAATCAAATTTGACGTAATCTGCTAAACAAACCTTTAGGATTCGTTTGGGAAGTGGATTGACTTTTTAGCTTTTTTAATTATTTTAGTCTTGGGCTAAAAAATCTCGTTTGGGAAGGGCTTCTGGTTTTTTTTTTACTTTTTTGTAAGAGAAAGAATGTAATGATTATGGATTGAATGTAATGTTTTATTTTTTGTGGCTAAAAAGCCTATTTAATTTTTTGTGGATATTTTAGCCAAAAAAGCCTAACTTTTGGCTTCCCAAACCAAGGGTGGGAAAAGAAAAAGAAATTACCGATACATAGAGGGGTGCACCTCTACAGCATTTCATTTGCACATCAGCATAGACACACTTGCCCCATATAGTTGTAATTTTTTTCCTCTTCTCCCACCTACATATAATTTTTCCAGCAAACATCACCATAAATAGTTCCAAAAAAAAAAAAAAAAAATCACCATAAATACCACAATCATATAGAGGTCGTTTGGCAACTACTATAATAGCATATTTTTTATATTTTTTAAGGTCATATTATTTCTTTATTTTCTTATAATTTTTTTTTGTAAAAAATTAAAAAATATATTTATTTAACACTTCTCAAACAATCTAATCCTGTTTAATCTGGTTATGCACAAACGGGTTCGGTCCTAGTTTGGCAAAAGCTCTGTTTGGCAAGTTATTTTCTTAGTTTAGTTCAGATTTTAAAAAAAAAAAAAAAAAACTAACGATAAAATAAAAGTTAAAATATTATATCTAACTTATAATTATTTTATTTTTTTTCTTACCATCATCAAATTTAGTATAAAAAAAAAATTAACTACCATTTTAAATAACTAAAAAAAAACAAATAGTAACCTTCTCAAACAAGGGGATAGTATGGTTTTAAAAAATAAACCGGTTCGAAGCGAATCTAACTGGTTCTTTTAAAACATATTAAACCCTAGCGGCTAGCCATTCTCCCACTCCTCACATCTTTTTCCCCACTCTTTCGTCTTTCCTTCGCAATCGCACGTCTAGCTGGTCTGATAACTCCTATTGGTGAGTAATTTGTTTTATTTCTTTAATTTTTTCCCTTTGATCTAGGGTTTTTATTTTTTTTTTGTTTAATTGTTTGTTTGTTAATCTCTTTAACTGTGCTTGTCCCCTTTGCAAGTCTAAATTAAGAGAAATTATCACAGGTCCGTCTCATATCTTTACAATTCTATTGATTACATCCCCATTATTCTCTCTCCCTATATATTTTTTATGTATTGCATAAAGCCTTTCATTTGCATGCTTTTTAGTTTTTTAGTGTTTTTTTTTTTGTTATTTTAGCTACAAAAAAATAAAAACATCACATTCAATACATAAGAATTTTATTTTTTTCTCTCTAGTCTCAGGCTAAAATAGTCAAAAGCAAAAACCAAACCACATCTCAAATGGAGTAATCAATAGAATTGGAAGGAGTCTATAGTTGGAATTGCTGAAAGATACAATAATTCCTCATAAATTAGGCTTTTTAACTATTAATTTTAATTTTTATTGATTACGGCTTTTTAGGTTCTGGGTTATCAGGTACTAATTTTTAACTTTTGTATAACTGACTTGATTCTGTTCTCATACCTTTTTTATTGTATTAATGGACTGGTTATATTAGATTTGGGTCATTTTAGTATTTCACTTAATTGATTAGCTCTATTGTGGAGGAATCATGAACCCAATTCGGTTCGGTTCAGTTCTCGTCAGTGCCAACGGTCCAGTCTGGTTCTCAAATTTATGTAATTATTAGGACCTGTTTGGTTCCTAATGTGAATTGTAACCGTGCACCTTAAATTTTGAAGCTCTTTACAGATTGTTTGACACTATAGTATTAGGAATATGAATCGTTCCGGTATGTGGAATGAGAATGGAAGTATAGTAAGTGACATTCTCTAAAATTTGATGAGATAAATTATAGGCTTGTATAGCTTACACTATTAAAATTAGGATTCTTTTAGAGCAATTTTCTTTTACAGTTAGACATCCGGTGAAATGTATGTCTTTTTTGTTCTTTTTTATTTTTCAAATTAATCATGTACCAAAACATTTCTATGAGCATTTTGACCCATTTTTTGTGTCTTGTTCAGTGAAAACTTCACTCCACTTAGATTTTAGTTTATTATTTTTGAATTTTTTTTTTCTCAAGGAATTGTTGAAGTATTTATTGGAAAAAAAATTGGAATTGATTTGGATCACTAAATTCATCATTTTGCAACAAAAGTGTATCATGTTTTGGAACTTGCATTCCAGAACATAATTTGTGAGGGTATTAGTGTTTTCTGGTAACACTATACGGACACAATTCTTACTCTAGATACTATATCTATAGAAATCGAAGTATATGCCTAGATGTTATTTCTTCTTTCTTCTTCATATCTTTCATGCGCCACACCTTTATAACTTCCAAACCTAATCTTACCCAACTTCTTTCCTTTTTCTTAACCCTGCTTTGCAAGCCTATCTACAACACATTAATTCATTAACCAATCGACCATAACAAAAGAGTAAATCTAACCAGCTTATGCTAAGTCACTGCACTCAGAAGAACTGTTGGATAGTTGCCTGTCCATCCCCAAAACCCTACCATTTTGCGACCCTAAATCCTAAAAACTTATATTAACCAACTATTCAGCTCTATCATCTTATAAAAGCATAGACACCTCTCCAAAGGTTATGTACTAGTGTTTGATATGTTGGGGAGTGGGGACACGGAGGGTCCCATTTTTTAAAAATATTTTCGAAGGAATAGCATGCCAAGGTTGATGAATTTGATGAGAATTAATATTTGACACAAGATAAATATATAATATTAAAAAATATGATTTATCTAATAAATATTTAAAATTATATGTTTTGCTCAAGTCCTAGGCATGTCGTGTGCTGCATTTTTTAAAAATTTGCATGTCCATGTCCGTGTCATTTCACGTGTTTGTTTTTCTGCTTCTTAGATAAAATTTAACAACATCAGCCCTAAAATCTCTCCTTTCACGTTGCCCTAGGATAACTTCGAACTCACGGCTTTTAGGAGAGTGTTCCCCTCATTTGTCCTACATTTTGCTTCTCCATAAATATCAATGCAATGATGTTGAGGTTCAAGTTAAGTTATTTCGGTTATGATGTTACATTTGCAAACTTTTTTTTTCTTTTTCCCCTCACTTGTTTTAAAGTGGAACTATAGACACAATCGTAAGAAGGCGGAAGAGTAAGCTTTTTGAATAGCTATATTATTTTGTTATTATAACGACTTCAAAAATCTAATATTTTCAGGGTTATTTTGGGAATCTCACAGCTTATATTCAAATTGTAGGGTATACGCAGAGATGTTAATTTCCCTCAATGTTCAGATGTTCTCCTTGTGAAACATGTTTCAAAGAGGCTCAGTTGATGCTATATTGCCAGAATGTGAACAAGGTAAGTTCTTCCTAAGGTGGAAAGAAGCTAACAATAATAATATTGAAAGCTTTGTGCCAAAGCAAAACAGTATAGTCAATTGTCTCTTGAACTTAGCTCATTGTTAGGCCATCAAATATTTAATTGGCTTTTTGTGATTGAAGATTTTTCATTGGGCATTCATGCACTACTTTTGTTCAGAAACATAGTGATGAATTCATCATTTCCCTCTAATGCACCTTTAATGTTTTCCAGTTTGCGTATCTTAGAATCATCAGATGATCCTGTGAAAATATATTGTGAGTCTTACAAGTTAGGCATGATTGTGGTTGTACATATTAGAGTCCTATTAGAGGCGTGATTGTATTAGAGTCCTATTAGAGACATGATTGTATTTTCCTTTTTGGTCTAGGAGTTAAGGCTATATAATCTAAGGTCTGATTGTAATCAAATACATAATTGAATATACAGAAATATAGAAAGCTTACATGGTATTAGAACCACTTCTGAAACCCTAGGTCTGGCCTTGATCATTCGAATCATTCGAAGTTCTTCGTTCTTGCTTGCTAGGTCTTTCTGGGTCGATGGAAGCTAGCCCTCATCGAAGCTAGCCCTCTCTGGCTCGTGATAGTCGCGAAAGCCCTCTCCAAAGCCACAAAGGTCTTGCTGGGTCGTGATAGTCTTCTCTAAAGTCACGACAGCCCGCTCTATCTTCGCCGAAATTGCGATTGCCTTTTGGTATTGGGTTTGAAGTTGCATGTCTGGTCTAGGCTTGAGGGATCTCTTTCACTCTCTTGTGACCTCCGCGTTGACTCTCAGTCTGGTCTTTGCTCTCAGTTTTGCTCTCTTTCTATCTTCAGTTTTGTTCTTTGTGTTCTGATTTCAGTCCACCTTGACCCCTCTGTCTTAACTTTGGATTATTACAGGTTGACCCCTCAACTTTATTGGGTTTTATCACTGTGCCCCATCAGTTCTCTTTTTTTATTTTATTTTATTTTTTTATTTCTGGTTCATTACAATGTCGGAAGATAAAATCTAAGCTATTAAATGCAAGCTTACAAGTGACAACTATGCTTATTGGTCTAGTGTTATGAAAAATTTTATTCTTGGTCGAAAAAAATGGGGATATGTTTCTGGATCTGTTCCTCGTCTATTGGATCCCAACCAAGAAGACTATCTGAGTTCCTGTGACACTTGGGATTGTGATAATGCTTAAGTTTTGACCTGGTTCCATAACTCTGTGGATGACCATATTGGGATGATGTTCTCTAAATATAGCACTGCCAAAGATATATGGGATTACTTACAAAGTGTTTATCAGCAGTCCAACTTTACGAAATGGTATGAGTTGGAAACAGCTATTCAAGGAGCTCGTCAGCGGGATTTGTCAATTCAAGACTTCTACATTGAGATGACAGGCCTCTGGGATCAGCTAGCTCTCATGGAATCATCTAGCCTCAAGACACTAGACGCTTATGTTGAGTTTCGGGCACAAGGTCGTTTAGTGCAATTCTTAATGGCACTCTCCCCTCAGTATGAGGCTATCCGTAGTGGTATTTTCATCGGTCTCCTCTCCCCTTTGTGGATGCTATTGTTCGTAAGCTCCTCTCCCAGGAAACCCATCTTAAGATAGCCAGTTAAACTTTGTCTTCTTGGCTCATATTCCGTTTCTTCTACTGTCGAACCCCCTACCTTATTAGCTTTAGGCCAATGCAAAGCCCAAGAAGGGGCCACTAGCCTCTGATGAATGTGCTTTTTTCCATCAGAAGGGCCATTGGAAGTACAACTGTGCCAAGAAGGGCCGCCAATCTGCTCAGTCTTCTTAGCCGCCTCAGCCATAGTCCCGAGGTCCTGCTTCGAGTACTTTTCGTCCTTCTGCTGTTTATACTGCCTCTGCCCTGGCTTCTAATCTTGACTTGGCTTCCTTGAGTACCCAAATTGCTCAGCTTCAGCACCTTTAGTCCACCTCTCAATCATTTTCATCTGCCTCTCCTCATTCAGGTTTGCTTGGGTCCTCTTTAGTTATTCCTTTCTCTGTCTGGCTTTTTGATTCTGGTGCCTCTCATCACATGACTCCTCACCTTTCTTACTCCAACACTTTATCCCCCCTCCCTTTTCTATTATTATCAATACTGTTAATGGGTCTAGTCTGTCTGTCTTATCTATTAGGTCTGTTTTACCCTCTGCTATGTCTGGTGTTACTATTTCCTCTGTTCTTTATGTTCCTCAACTGTCTGTTAGCTTGCTTTCTATCAGTCAGTTTGATGCTTTTGGTTTTGATGTTATTTTTTCTTCTTCTATCTTTTGTGTGCAGGATCAGGTATCCAAGAAGCGGATTGGGACCGGCCGTAGAGTTGGACATCTCTATGTGGTGGAAAGTTTGCATCTTCTTCAGTCCACCTCCCCCGTTGCACTTTCATCTTTTCAGTTAGATTCTCAGTCGAGTCAGTTTTATTTATGTCATTCTCGCTTAGGTCATTTGTTTGTTGACTGCTTACAGTTTTTAGCTCAGTCAGGATTGTTAGGTAAACTTTATCCTAGTCAAATTAATGAGTGTCGAGGATGTAAACTTGCTAAAATGACAGTTTTACCTTTTAATAACAGTACTTCTATTTCTGCTTCCCTTTTTTCTCTTGTCCATACTGATGTCTGGGGACTTTCTTCTATTCTCACTAAAGGGAGTTCTGCGTATTATGTGTCATTTGTTGATGATTGTATCCGCTATACCTGGGTTTATCTTATGGCTCATAAATCTGACTTCTACTAGATATATCGTACCTTTCAGTCTATGATCACTATATAGTTTGGGGTCACCATTAAAATACTCTGGTCTAACATGGGTGGGGAATACTTTAAAACTGAATTATGTGAGTATTTGGCCAAATTAGGCACCATTCACCAAACCTCCTGTACTGATACCCCTGTCCAAAATGGTCGTACTGAGCTTAAACACTGTCATCTCCTTGAGACAACCCGATCTCTTCTTCTGTCTGTCTCTGTTCCGACATCATTCTGGGATGAGGCAGTTCTTACCGCTGCTTTCCTCCTTAATTGTATGCCAACTCCCTTACTCTCTGGCCGATCTCCTTATGAGGCCTTGTATTCCCAACCTCCCAATTATTCCCTCATGCGTGTCTTTGGGTCTGCTTGTTTTGTTCCCATTCCTCGTAAAGATAGGACCAAACTCAGTGCCTGGTCTCTCTTGTGTGTTTTTTAGGTTACAGTCTTACACAAAAAGGCTACCGCTATTACGATCCTGTCTCTCGTCGCCTTTATGTCTCCCGTCATGTTACATTTCTCGAACGTCTGTCTTACTTTCAGCTTTTCCCTCTCACTGCTCCAGTTTCCAATGAGGATTTGGTTCACATTGACCCATTTCCTTCTGAGGTCTCGTCTGATGAATATATCTCCACTGTTCCTTCTGAGCTTGTTCCATCTGCTCCTTCTGCTTCACCTCTAGCTGCTTCACCTCTAGCTGCTTCTCTTCCTCAATTATTAGTTTATTCTCGTCGTAAGACTCCTCCTCCGCCTGTTGTCTCTGTCCCTACTGCTACTCCTCTTACTTTTGATGTCACCGATCCTACTGAACACCGATATCCAACTCGAGCACGTCATGCTCCAAACAGGTTGGGTTGGTCTAATACATGTTTTTTTGCTTCCTATCGTCCTTTTTTGTCTACTATTCACTCTTTTTCAAAACCTCAGTCGTACAAAGAGGCATGTCAGGATCCTCATTGGGTTCAAGTTATGGATGATGAGTTGTTTGCTCTACAGAAAACTAGTACTTAGGAGTTGGTTCCTTTCTCTGTTGGTAAGAACTTGGTTGGTTGCAAATGGGTCTACAAAGTCAAGACTCATTCTGATGGGTCTCTTGAGCGCTACAAAGCTCGTTTGGTTGCTAAAGGTTTCTCTCAGGAGTATGGTATTGATTATGAGGAGACATTTGCTCCTGTTACTAAGATGACTACTGTCCGTACTTTGATCTCTGTCGCTGTTATTCTTTCTTAGCCTCTTTATCAGATAGATGTTAAGAATGTTTTTCTTAATGGCCATCTCACTAAAGAAGTTTAGATGTGTCCTCCCCCTGGCATTCACCCTTCACTATTTCTCTGGCTAGGTTTGTCGTCTTCGATGTGCTCTGTATGGCCTAAAGCAATCTCCTCGTGCTTGGTATGATCACTTTTAGATTGTTATTACCGAGCTTGGGTTTCATCCTTCTGCTTCTGACTCTTCTTTATTTCTGAGACATACATCGGTTGGTTTTGTTGCTCTCTTACTCTATGTGGATAATATGATCATCACTGGCTTTGACTCTTCTACTATCTCCGAGGTCAAGCAGCATCTCTTTCGCACCTTCGAAATGAAAGATCTAGGTCCATTACGGTATTTTCTTGATATTGAAGTTGCTTCTTCTCCAAAGGGCTATTTTTCGTCTCAGGTTAAGTATACTAATGAAGTCATTCACCGTGCTGGTTTTACTGATACTAAGGTTTTTAATACACCTATTGAGCTTACTGTGAAGCTTAACTCTACTGATAGTGTCCCTCTAGATAATCTCACTTTATATCGCGAACTTGTGGGTTGTTTAGTTTATCTGACTATTACTCACCCTGATCTTGCTCATACTATTCATGTAGTTAGTCAGTTCGTTTCTACTCTTCGCTCTACCCATTGAGCTACTTTGGTTCGCATTTTTTTCTATCTCAGGGGTACTATTTTTCAAGGCTTACTGTTGTCCTCTACTTCCTCTTTGGACTTGGTGGCTTATGCTGACTCTGATTGGGCTGGTGATGTTATTGATCGCAAGTCTACGTCTGGTTTCTGTATGTTTCTTGGTGTTTTCTTGATCTCTTGAAAAAGTAAGAAACAATCAGTCGTTGCTCGCTCTACTGCCGCAGATAAGTATCATGCCATGGCTCATGCCACTGTTGAGATTGTTTTGATGTCTCTCAATCTTCTCTGACCTCTCAATTGTGACAACCGCAATGCTATTCAAATTGCCCACAATACTGTTTTCTATG